GTTCTCTCCCACAGTAGTTTGTTGCTAATAGTGTCTGGCCAACGGATCCGATGTAATTTAAATAGACAACTGTTATTAAACACCTATATATTCTGGATGATGGTTTTCCAGGTTTCCGCCCCATACAGTAAAACTGTATTGACATTTGTATTGAAAATTCTGACCTTTGTTGGTCGCCGATTGTTTTGAGTTCCAGATGTTCTTCAGTTGTAAATATGCTGCTTTTGCTTTTCCGATCCGCTCCTTTACATCTGCATCAGATCCACTGTTTTCATCGATGATGCTGCCTGATATTTGAATGTTTTTACATCCTCCGAAGCTTCTCCGTCAAGTTTGATTGAATTGGTGCATGCTGTGTTGTATCGGAGAATCTTGCTTTTCCCTTTGTGCATATTGAGACCTATTGCTGCTGATGCTTCTGCTACACTGGTTGTCTTCTCCTGCATTTGTTGTTGCGTTTGCGATAGAAGAACCAGATCATTTTTGAAGTCTAGATCGTCAAACTACATCCTAGATGTCCACTGTATCCCGTGTTTCACTTCTGGTGTTGACGACTTCATGAATCAGTCAATCACCAGGAAAAAAAGGACTCCGCCTACAGTCCCATGGAGGCTACGGCCGGTCCTAATCCCGGATAAAGGAGGAGAGTTTGGCATGGGGTCGCTAACCCCCATCCCGTAAAAAAATAACTTGCTAAAAAATGCGGACCAGATAACCTGTCCATGAATAATGCTGTTTCATATTTAGCGATTCGCGTCTATCTGGTACGCCTAACTTGGAAGGAGTTCAAGCATATTTCACAGTAAAATAAAATATATTTAGACGCTACATTCTAGTACACAAACTCCCAAGAAAAGTAGGGCTTAGGACATGACTGATGGGTTAGGTTTTTTAGTATATGTAACTTTCTCATAGTCAAACTTAATACGTGTATGTTTGGTCTAAGTAACCACACTCTTGCAATCAGAAACTTGCTCATAAAGCAGCGGTATAACCACGTATCGATACTATCAATATACCTAGATTATGCAGTTTAAATCGGATTTAGGTAAACAAATGAAAACAAACAGAAGGCTTACATAATTGCCTCGCGTCATATCACTTGCTTACATGTGGCTCAAATCTCCCACTGACATAACATTTGATAACTCGTATTAACGAATGGTTAATATGAACTGTTTATTGGTGAAACTCTATCGAGTATAAGTATTGTCCTGAATATAATACATTTATGTGAAGAATAAATAGTTAGTCAAAACTATGTAAGAACTAGATAGGCTGTGCATTTGAAAAAGTCCTGAATAAGCTAAATCCTCCACGAAACTCAATCAAGAATTTAATTCTGAAGCAGGTAGAATCTAATTGTATTGTATTATTATGACAGAATAAAGCATAACTGTAAAAAGCGATCCACAACAATAGATATGATAAAGCTTTAGTATATCAACACGAACGTGACTGCAAAGTGATATGAAGTCGGGCAAATCTTTTTCAAATGACAAAATATGATTCTGAATTTATTCATACCAGAACTATTTTATTACACTGAACATCACTAAACATTTGTGTTTTGTTCTTCACTTAGTTCACAAAGGTTGAATCTATCAGTAATGTTTTTATCATTCATTGGGTTCTACCTATCATTTTTCTATTTTTCTGTTTACTTCGTAATTCAGTGCCGATTGTTGGAGTTTTATAGTCATTAAGGATATTACATCATTTAGAAAGAGCTCTACGCAACTATCTGTTACGAACATGTTCGGTACCTCACAGTCAAAAAATAACAAAAGAGAAATACAAATATATATATGTCACAGGAAATCATTGATGGCAATTACATTTTAATATGAAGTATATACGGATTTATTGATCGACAAATGAACTAAAGTACTAGATATAGTACACCTTTTAAGTATAAAA